CAAAGCATCAAAAACAGTCTTCTTAAGCACTATTTTTAATCTTTCCTTCCCAGGTGAGAAAATAAAGGTTCAGAGAAGTGTTGAGTAAGTGATTTGTTTAAGATCTCATGCCAGTAGATAATGAAGCCGAGATCTGTAATCCAATCTTTCTACCTCTAAATCCTGGCTCTTGGAAGACTGTCAGACTACCTTCTAGCAATATGCTGGGAGAAAAACGTGGTGACACAGTTAGGCTCAGACAATGGGGACTCTGGGGTGCCACCATGAACTTTATAGTTTGAGATTGGGCCTTCTGAGTTGGTGAGTTGTTTTACCGGGGGAAGCTCCGGCCCACCAGAGAGTGTAGGGAGGCAGAGAAAATAGCAAAGAGGCATTTCCCTTCAGGGTAGTGAGGAAGCCGTAGCAAAGGAAATGAAAGGAAGGGGACAGGAGGAAAGCCGATGGGAAAGGATTTTGAGGTGGTGATTTGGACGATGAGATGTTTCGGAGACATAAAAAAGATGGGGACCTGGAGAGGGCTATTGCATTAAGTCACACCATCCCTGGGCTCCAGAAGGCTGAGTCAATAGGATGGTGAGCTTAGGAGCTTTGGGAGACAAAGTGGGAAAGGCTTTTCTTCAAACAAACACACGAAAACCCCATTATGTGTGTAAGCATTTTGCCTGCATGTGTGCCTGTGCACCAGAGGCATACGTGGTGCCCATGGAAGCCAGAAAAGTGCCCTGGATCTGGAGCTACCAATGGTTGTGAGCTGCCATTTGGGGTCTGGGAATTGAAGCCAGCTCCACTGGAAGAGCAGCTGGGACTCAAGTGCTGAATCATCTCTCCAGTCCCTGTGTGGGAAAGTTATTGAGGACAAAAATGACACGGCATCTGGAAAGGACGGGTGTTCAAAACGGGCAGCCAGACCATAGCAGGGCTTGGAAGACCTGGAAAAGGGGATCTCTACATATTCAAGGATGGATGCATGCACAAAGAAATTTCAGTACATTCTGCCACCACCTTGGCTGAAGTGGAAAGACAGACAGAAGTATAGCCTAGGTGTTAAAGAACAGAGCAGCTGGCAAGCCATGCGGGTGAGGTCATCTGACGCTCCCTACTTCAGGAAGCCAGGAGCTCTTCCCATCAGTCAGGAGCTGTGGGAGTTGGGGCCCTGGAGCTACTTGGGCTATGACCCGCCTAGGCCTGCCCTCCTTGTCTTGTGCCATTCTTAAGCTCCCCCACCTCTCAGCCTCTTCACTTGCCCAGCTAACCCTCGGGAGGCGAGAAGGCAGGTGGCTGAGTGTCCCTGCTGAGGGGCATAGTTCACAGACTCTCTCTCTGACACAGGAGGCAGGATGGTCTGTTTTTAGGGCTTGGGGTTTTTTGGGGAAGTAGAGGCAGGGAAAAGAGGCAGAGGGAAGGGAAGTCGGTTTCCAGGTCTCTCATTTTCTATAGTCCTACACCAAACCAAAGCACCCAAGAAAGAAAAGAAGCAAAACTTCCCTAAACTGTAAAATTCACAATGCAATATGCAAAAGCCTCGTTTAGTGTGGGCACCCCTGGTAAACCCATTAAAAAAATTAAGCAGCTTGAAATCTTTTGCTGAAATTTAAAAAACAAAAAGTAAGGAAAGGAAAACAAACAATAGCATAGCCCCTCTGCTAGACAGTCTGCTACTTCTTTTCCTGAAGAACTGAGAAACTGAGCAAGGGCTACGTGGCTCCTTAGAGGTCCTGAGCCCTGACAGGGGACCATGGGAGGAAGGTTCACCCCCTGTCTATCCACACCTCTGTGAAGCCATCTCTTTACTGAACTGGGGCCAGTAAAGGGATTTTCTTGCAGCATCCCACCTACCATTCCGGGGGGCCCAGGCCCATCTTGCAAGCAGTCTGTCTGCTGTGGCTGCTTATTGTGTTCTGGAAAAAGGGGTTGGTTTCTAACCTCCCAGAGAAGTCTCTCCTCAATCCAAATATTGGGGGTGGAGTGGGGGTGGGTAATGTTAGACGTTCCACTGGTGAGGGCAGATGGTAAAGATGGAAAGAGATAGTTTGCACCGTGAAAGGCACATTCAGTTGGATAAATAAGGAACTTGGGGGTCTCTGGCTTTTTTATAGGACAGGGAGAATTTGAAGAAGGCCAGGGTAGGCCAGCATTGACTCCTCAATCCCTTCCCATTCCTAGCTCCAAAAAGATTTTCCGTTTTGTTCTCTCAGTGTGTTTGATCTCAGGCCTTTCCTCTTTCTTTTCTTATGTGTGCCTCTTCCCCCTAGATTTTATAGGCACATGCAATATTTATGTGGCAGTGACCTTTCAAAGAAGTCTTAGAGATTGACTGTTTACATGTAGAAAATTTCTTGAAGGTCTGCAAAGCCCTTTGTACTTCGTTCAGGAAAGGCACTTGGTAAGAACCAAAGCAAACAACTGGGTAACTCAGAGCCAAATCCCTTAAGAGAGTAAGTGGGGGAAGATAGTATTTGTCTTGTTGTTTCGTTCCCCCTCCCACAACCCAGTCCAGTACTCCAGCCAGCCCTACTTCCTGGATTGGTCCAGAAGAGCTTGTAAGCCATTTGTGGATCGATTCCAGGTCCTGTATTGGAGAAATCTCCACACTGGGAAATTTTGCAAGGAATATGTCAAAAACTGGAAACCATGAAAACCATCTCTGCCTCATCGAAGCTCATGCCAATCACTTGTCTCTTTGATTATGGAGGGTGGAGAAGGGTGATTACTTTGACCAAATGTTCCTCCTGGGGCTGGGTGCATCACTCAGCTTGTGACTGTAATCCTGGCCACTGCAAGCTTTCTGAGAAACCAGGCTTGCCTCTGGCTACCTAGCATAGACTGTCCAAGTGGATCCACCAGCTGCTTACTGATCCTTTTCACTTTTGTGTATGAAATACTTCGTAAAAACTTTATGAGTTGGTGAAACCAAAGCTTTTATTTAGAATCAGAAAATATTGTATTCACATTTTATCTCCAGGGATTATTAAGCCTTTGATGTTGGCTGTGATAGTTCATCTGTTTTTTCTTTTTTTTTTTTTTTGGTCTAGGTTGCCCTACTTATACAACAGCATAATAGTATCTACTTTATATAATACCTATTAAGATCAAATGCGATATGGAAATAAAAGCCCCTGGTACATGTCTTGGCAATTTATATTAATCAGTATGTACTAACATTCTCTGTTTATGCTTCAGAGGTCTCTGAATTTGAATTCTTTATTTGAAAAACTTTTAATTCAAAACTCCCTGTCTGTTAGAGATCATGTATTACAAGCACGTCTCCAATAAGATAATGAACAAGGCTAAAGGCTAAGATACAAAATGGGAAATATATATATCTATATATATTATAATATATATTAAAATATATAATATATATGCACACACACATATATATATATGTCTCCTGTTAATGGAAGTCACTCTTCCATGGATTCCAGCACAGTAGTAGTCAGGTCTGATTCCCCAGAACAGTGGCTGCTACATGCTGTACCCATTGTTACCAACTAATTGAGTGACGTAGAAATGATAGGGAAAGAAATTCCCAGAACAGTGGCTGTTGCACATGAGTCTTCAAGGCATAGTATATGTAAAAGTAAGTGCTAACCCCACTGTTAATCTGAGAATGTGCACCAATCCCAGCCCCTTCTCTTTCCTTCACCCTTGTAGTAGTGTGAAGTAGTAAGAATTGAGTGTGGGATAACATTAAATACTATAATGCACTCAAACAAGCTAGCCAGAAGCTGGGATTTCAAAAGCATGGAACCTCTATTCTCACCACCCCTGGCTATATGAAGTGAACTTACCTCTAGGGTGTGCAGAATAATAATTATTATTTTTAAGTGCTAGAAATTTACACTTAACTAGTGAGCACTGGTTTGGCTTTAGAAACAATATTTGCAAGTGTATTTTTGGCATTTAAGGAGCCTGAAAACTTCACCAACAAATACGACTTTGTAACTGCAATTATGTCTTGAAGATTGAAAAAATCTAAAGCTGGAGAGATAGCTCAGCTGTTAAAGGCCAGGCTCACAACCAAAAATCTAAAGCATTAAGCGAAATAAAATAATATGAGGTGTGATAGTCTCTATAAGTCCATTCTACTTAATAAGCAAGGAGATGAGTTAGTTTGAGTGTAAAGGCACTGTTTTTCCTAAAATCTTATTGTGCAGGTCAAAAAGATAATAGGGCACCTAACACAGAGAGGAGTCAAACGGATTTGTTTCATGTATGATCTTCTGAAGTTGGAACAAGATGAAAAGCTGACCATTTGGAAACAAGAATTTTGAGCTGGTGAAACGAGTCTCTGCAGAATGGCCTTGGACTGAGATGCTGGCTGTCCTGTGAGGGAGTGCTGGATTTAGAATAGCAGCTGCCTTCAGATCAAGGACAGTGACCCTGGAATCCTCACTACAACCTTGTGCAACCCACGTGTTGAAAGACATGTAGGAAAAGCAACAAGAAAAGAGTTGATCCAGCAAGGAGGGGGGGTGCTCAGATGAACTACCACACAACAGCATCAAAGAGTGCCAGGAGGAAAGCCTTTCTATTAAAAGGTATAAAAAACATTTCTTCACAAATAAGCCACAGTAACAAAAAGCACACGACATATAATTTACCATCTTAATCATTCAAAATTATATAGTATAATATAACAGATTTCTATATTTACATCATGTGCCATAAAGCAGGCAAGTTTGTAAACAATGTTAGATCTCTTTCCTCTCACTTTGGTAAAAAGGGCATGGAATTCCCTTCTTTGAATTTGAAAACCAGGTCATACTCTGAACCCCGTGGGACTGGCAGAGATCCCTTCTGGCCCGACTGTTCCAATGAAAGGCTGTGGTCTGGCTTGCCACACATGGGGACAGATACGCTGCTGAGAGGAAGCTCGAGCTGCCCCTGGCCAAGGCAGAGTTACAGGGTTAGTCTCTGCCTGTGTCTCCTCCATGTTGAGTGGACGGGGTGGGGGTTGCAGTGGTTTGCTGTTCCCTGAATCACGCCATTCATCTTACCTTGGGTTTGTATGCATTCAGCATGGACATCTCTACATTTTGTCCTCTGACGGGCTTTGGTTGCCTCTGGACTGGCGGTGATGATGACTTCTGGTTATTGCGGCACACGCAGATGAAGAAGAAAAGGAAGGCGATGGCCAGTGGAATGGCCACACTCGGCACCAGAATGTACAAGATTTCCATTTTATTCTTCTCTTTGGAATCTTTGGAATCTGGGTGCAGACAAAAGGGCAAGAGTTAAACTTGTTAAAACAAAAATGTCTAATATTACATGGTAGAGTTTAAACGATTTATTCTGTACACACAAATTCACAGTAAGGAAAAAAAAAAAAGAAGAAGACTCTAATACCCATTACAATTTGTTTCTATCAAACCCTCAACATAGTTTATTGAAGTTTAAAAGTTTAAAGTTCAAATGTTTGAAAATCACAGAGGGACATTGTGAAGGTTTAGAATGTGTGAGGGAACCTATGACATAGCTCCTTTCCAGCAACATTTCTCTTACACCTTAAAAGTTAAATGACATGTGAACATACTGTGTACATGAAGCCTTCACACAGACCACAGGGCTCTTCTCCACTGGCTGTCAGCCCAGGTCAATGGCCATGGCATGGGGCTCCTGAGTTCCAAGATGCCTCAGCCTAGGGTGTTAGGGGCATGCAGGCCAGCCCTGTACTTTCCAGGATCAACATGACTGTAGAATCTTAGTCTTGGTTTCAGAAGGCACTGCCTTGAGACTCTAGGCCTGTAGGCTGGCTGAGTTCAGTGTCTGGCAAGCTGTACAACTCAAGCAAATCATCCAGCAATCTGGGCCCACTTTCTCTCATTTAGAAGGGAAGTAAATGTTCTGGAGGGTGTCTACAAGCCCCTCCAACACAGAAGCACTGTAGAACTTGACACTTTTTGAAACCCCAGAATTTGTCTTGAATGGTTTCAGATGAACCCAATAATTGTGAGTGCTAACACTTTGAAGTATAGTTTGAAATTTTATACATCCATTTTACCATCTCTTGGCAAAGAATATAATATACATAGAAGGATATGAGTTTTGCTTTTCTTGTTATTAATTTGAGCCTGACCAGTAAAGCCAAAAGCATTGGGCATATGTCATCATCAATGAATTATCTAAAATAAACACATGAATTATAGGATGGTAATTAGAGGGGTTATGAAAATGGCATGTTCTGACCACCAAGATCAGCTGTCTTTCTTTGACAAAATCCAAAGTGTGGACATTCTGAGTGACACCAAATTCAGAGATGCTTATTTACTCTACAGAAGAATCAACATGCTTCCATTCGGCTCTCATTCCACTCCTTTAGTGGGTCGGCAAATGTGAGCCACTGTGCACCAAGATCTGTTCTAGGAACTGGGAGTATAGAATGAATTACTGCATACCTTATGCTTTTAAGAATCTCACAGTCTTATAAGGATATTGGAGAAGGTGTTATTACAATATGTTGTTGATGCACAAGTATAAATGGAATGACAATGCAACCCCAAGAGCCCTTTGAATAAGGAGGTCCCCCAGTACGTGTAAGTCTTCACTTCCCCACCTTTGAGATGCTTTCCTTTAGATATCACTGTACCCAACCATATTTTGCCTTCTTCTCAAACACATTCAGCATATAAGCTTAAGAAGGAGCCCCCCAAAACTGGATGCTGAGAACATTCTTTGTGTGTTAACTCTCCTATGGGCTTGGGGAAGGGTTTTACATTTGTTTATTGAGCTCAATAAAAGAATAGCATTTTTCCTCTTTATTTTTCTACTGGTACAAAGTCATGCTTGCTATCACTATTACTATGAACTGGGTACTTTTCAAAATGAACTCATTTTATGGTGACAATCAACTCCAGGGGAAAAGCAACATGCGTACCCCTATTTTTATAATGAGGAATCTGAAGGACAGGGTAGCTAAGCCACTTGCTAGCCTGAGGACATGCAGCTGGCAAGTCAGAGGCTGGGTGTCTTCCAATCAGTTTTGCTCCATGTCCCCAGCTCTAGCTGAGACCCTGTGCTACCAAGGGTTGAATGCTTGATCTTAGGCACCTGTCTTATTATGGTGCAAGCTATTCGGGGAACCTGCAAGGTAGAGGGGTAGCGCTGAAGTTCTTGGCTCCCCACTTTCCACTATGATGTGTAAATAGCAAACCTGGGAACTGCTGGAGCTCACATGAACACTACAATTCCTCTAGTAGTGACTGTGTTTGCAATGTCTAGGGATAGATAGAAAAGATTCAGGCAAGTGGAAGAAAGCACACCACAGGGTCTAATGTGAGTACTTGTGCACACACACTGTGTACACAGGTGAGAGACATTTTGCAGAGTAAAGGAAAGGTACGTTTTAAAGTCAGACTCTTGTGAATACTGCCGATGCTATTATCATCAAGGTCAAGTTTGAGCCAGTGTTTAGCAGTGCCGAAAAAACTCATATATAAAACGAAAAACAATGTATTTTATAGAGCTGCTATAAACACAGTAATATGGAAAGTACCTTTTCTAGTATCTGTTGCAACTCAAGAGTTTTCCCTAAGAAGGGGATGCTGGGATAAACATTTGGAGCTGGAAAGTCCAAATAACCTTAGGCAAGAATCACCCTCTCTGATCTCTAGCTTTTCCTGTATTCAACAGGAATAATAATAGCTAGTCTCCCAATCTTATTTGGTTCATGTGAACTCAAATGGGATCAGGTTCATGAAAGAACCCTGGATAATTGAAAATTGCTATTCGGTTGTTGGATGCTATATTATTAACATTATAGAATTTCTCAGTATGAGCGGGCCAGCCTTGCTGTTATTCTTGGATTTTTCAGTTTAGTCATTATGAGCATAACGACTACAAAAGGAATGAGGCTAATTTACTACTAATATAACGCTAGTTATTTTTTTCCAGCCCCAAGTTTTAGCAACAAGAGAAAGTAGGGTCTCACCTGTCTGCCAACAAAGGAATCTATTCTACATTCATTCCCTATCAGATTATGCATGGAAGGAAGGCCTTTTATTGTAAATGGGCGGTGTGGGAAAAATGCTCCTGTGGGTCTGTAGGAGAATAAACTTCAAGAGGCTAAATCCTTTTAACACACCCAGACTTGGCTCCTCTGCTCACACAGAGGATGATGGGAGAACAGCAGGAGGAGGGTCCTCTTGCCAAGTGCAACAGTCCCAAGGGACAATAGATGGTCATGTTGGGAGAGTCAGAAGACAAGCTCAGGGTATCCCAGGACTTCAAGGCTATTCCTCGCTCATGCCACCATCAGCTCCTGGGTAGAAGGGGATCCAGTTTCTGGCATAGCAGCAGCAGCAGCAGCAGCTAGCAATAACAACAACAAGAAGCCTTAAAGAAAGGTGCTCCATAGAACAATGAGCACTTTTATGAGACATTATAAAACTAGCCACTATCTGGTCATTAAATTAAATTAAAAAAAAAAGTGGTGTGTGTGGGTGGGGCAGGGGTGTGTATTTGTGCCATAGCATGCCTGCAGAGTCAGGAAATGTGAGAAAGTTGGTTCTTTTCCTTTCCCATGTGGGTCCTGGGAATCAAACTCAGGTCCTCAGGCTTGACGGCAAGTGCCTTTACCCGCCGCACCTGCCCCTCTATAGCCATTAGGGTTTAAGCATTCTCACTCCTCATTTTAACCTAGCACTTGCATTATCTCAGTTTACGTGCAGAGACCTTGAAGCTGAGAAGGGATGAATTATTTTCCAGAGCTGGGCAGGAGCAGTGTCATCTGCCACCAATACTGCTATGCTTCCTAAATTAAGTCACAGATAGTTGCCCACAGTATTGGACGGGATGCTTTTCATCATTTTGGATTCCAAGATCCCTTTTCAATGAGGACTCCTATCTATGGGGATTATACTTGGCACGGGCATATGCATTATGCTGGAGCAAGCACCATTGTCCTTACTATTCACTTGAATAGAATTAGAAACTTCGAATGCATTGCTGAGAAACTGGCTAGAAATTAGAATGGTAAAGACATTTAATGCTTTGGGTAACTTTAAAAGTTAAATGCACTTGTTAGTTATGTCATGTTGAGTACTTGGGATTTTTGTAGTAAAGATTACTTGACATATTTCCTTCTAAAAATCAACAGCTTGGTATCACACACCTGGCATTCCTATTTTATCTTTACAATGCTGTTCAATACTTTGATTAGTGATTAAATATAATAGAAAAAATATTCTTTCTTACCCTGGGGTTTAAAGCAAGGAAAACATGATTTCTTAAGAGGGGCTTTAGTAAAGTGAACTTATCACCTGAAATATTATTCTTGAGTTAAAACATAATGTGCTGATTTTAAACAACAAAGGTAGGGAAACATTTTACAGAACTGTAGAGTTCAAAGGAAATGAAACAAGTCATAAGACATCTGAAAGAGATGCTTAAAAAAAAACATAGAAAATAGGAACTATGTATCTAAAAACTATAGAATAAGTGGATCTGTACCATGCTGATGGCCTGGAAGCCAAGGGAGAAAGAACCATAATTAGGTCTTCAGTTGGCAGATATGCCCAGCATTTAAGCCCCCGACTTGAGGCTAGAAACACCCAGAACACACTGTTATTCTCAGATAAACCCTGTGCTTAAAAGTAAAATAGCCCCAATGATGAAATTGATTACTGTACAGTGAGTGCCTTAGTTACACTAAGGGAACATAGCCTATTTGTGAGCAATATGGCAAAAATCTCAGCAATAGGAATCTGTACACTTTTATTAAAGCTAAATTCGGGGCTTCATTCTCTTCCTCTGTAAAAGGAAAAAAAATGGGACAATCTTTCTTAATAAGGAAAAGATTTTCAGTTTTAAAAATACATAGAATGAAACTGACCATATTTAAGCATGTAAATGTTTATATGTTTAAGCATAGCTTAATGACTCTAAATGTATGTATTATCAGGCAAATGGCATAGATAGCTTTTTCATCTTGCAAAATTGAAACCTCTATCCATTCCTATTCCTCATTCTAACCCCACCCTGGAAATTACCATTCTACCTTCCATTTGGACAAATGTGACTGTTTTGGAGTCTCATAAAAGTGGAATCTCACAGTATTTATTTTTGTGGCTGTCTTATCTCTGGATAAAGTCCTCACAGTTTATCACATTGTACTATATGATAGCATTTTCTTCTTTTTAAAACTGAGCAATATTCTATGGTATGTATGTTTCCTTAGTCTGTCTTGGTTGGGGTTTCTATTACTTCGATAAA